TTTTTTTTTTTTTTTTTTTTTTTTTTTTTTTTTTTTTTTTTTTGTCTTTTTGTCTTTTTTCTGTGTCCGGCAACGGATCGCAACCCTCAGTGCTGTCCCTGCACCGGACCGGGGACCGGCAACGGGATCGCAACCCTCGGCATCGCTCCCGCGCCTCGCTCAGCCAGTGAGCGGGAACCGGTCTGTATGTGGGATCCGAACCCTCGGGCGGGAGCGCCGCCGCGCTTCCCAAGCGGCGCACTATCTAGTGCGCCACCGGGCCGGCCCTATCCTGTTTCTTCATCTGCAAAAAAATAGTTCCTGTTTCAAAGGGCTTTTATGTTCTTCAAATGCAGTAATATATATAATATAAAGTTTGCACATAGTGCCAGTGGATGTTAGGTATTATTATTATTGATGCTATCCTTGCTACTGGTCTTCAGAGGTTGTGGAAAGCTACCTACCTAATTTTTACCCTTTGGATGAGAATCTAACAGGATAGAACTCAGCAGGCTAAGGAGGTTACTAATGAGGTTCCCTAAGGTATTCCTCCAGGAGTCTGATCTTACTAGAGAGACAGAGTGAAAAAAAAAGCTCTAAGGAGAAGGGAAACAATGATTCTCACAGGAGAATTTGGCATGCCCTCCCTCACCTCCCCCAGGGTTGGGTATCCTGAAGGACCCTTCGTTTTTCACTTCTTGGCAGAAGCAAAGGGCATCTCAAAGAAAAGAAAGACGTTTAGTTAAGAAAGTTCATTTTTGGTTCTGTCCATTTTGTCCAGGGCTCTGGTCCCTGTATCCTCTTTCCTTAATACTCCCTTTGCTGCATCTGGCTGGGTCAATACAGGTCTAAAAACCTCTTTGGGATTCTTTCTGGCTTGTTCAACTGAACCCATTCTGCAGTGACCTTTTACTGGCAGATGATAAGCAGATGGCCTCCACCTGGTTTTACTCAGCTTGTGGCATCAAACACTGTGACACTTCCTAAGAAGGGAGGTATGGGGACAGGCATAGGACTAGGAGCCTTGCTTGACAGGCTCTCCTGCCTGATTAGGGGATAGCTTAGTCCCTTTTCTGCACCCTGTATGACAGAGTAAGGGATAGGTTTGAGATAGAGGAGCCCTGTGGAAAGAAAGTATCCAGAATGGAAAGTGTTTCATTGCCACTCAGTATCCCATTGGTGCTGTGTAAGTTTAGGAGACTTGAGGGGCTGGGGGTCCTCTGTGGGTGGGGTCAGGAGCCTTATCCTCAGCTTGCTGGCTTCTCACAAACCTCACTTCTCACAGTGTTACCGGGACTTGGCTCTGGTGAGTCGTGACGGCATGAATATTGTCCTGAATAAAATCAACCAGATACTTATGGAGAAGTACCTGAAGTTGCAGGATACCTGCCGTACTCAGGTAAGACCAGAAAGAAAAGAGAGGATCCAGCTCAAAGGCATAACAGAGAATGGATCCTCTCTTTTAAGGGGAGGGAGGGGAAGGAGGAATTGGGGATAACACACCCCTGCTATTGTGCACCTAAATTGTAATGTGATTGAATTATCTCCTTTCTCAAACTCATGGGCCCTGCCCTTCATCTGTTTTTCTTCTCTCCTTTAGTTGGTGTGGTTGGTACGAGAACTAGTGAAGAGTGGGGTTCTGGGAGCTGATGGTGTTTGCATGACATTTATGAAGCAGATTGCTGGTGAGTTTGATGGCAGGAGCACAAAAAAGAAAGGAGAGGAGCCCAGAGACTAAATCCAGACAATGGAAAATGATTAAGTGCCTAAGGGACTTGATTCCTGGGTTGCTTAGACTCTTTCCTTCTGATATAGATGTCTTCTAGCCAAATATGTTACAGAAAGAAATTGCTTAAAAAATCACAGGGAGCCTTTTGAAGCACCAAATGTTCATTTTCTTTCCTGCCAAACCCAGGACCTGACAGAATATTTGGCCTATTTTAGCCAGTCTTCACTCTGGGGTTTTATGGTATATTGGATCAGGAAAGAGTGAAGAGAGAAATGAGGGCAAATAATTTGTTTCTGTGTTATTATGCTTTTAGAAATCCAGACATCTTTTTTGGCTCCACTCCCGTGTTCTGAACACTTGTTCCCTAATAATTATGACATCTAATTGGGGCCAGTTTGAGGGACAGACTATGTCACAGAACAGACCCTGACATTTAGGTTTTATTATCATCTTGGCATTGGTCACATTTGTCTGGGCCACTGAATATCCAAGAGGCCTGCCCATGCTACCTCTTCTGCTCCCAAGATTGCATGTGTTTGTTTAAAAATGACCCTGCTGGGCTGGCCGGTTAGCTCACTTGGGAGAGTGTGGTGCTGATAAAACCAAGGTCACAGGTTCAGATCCCCCATACCATCCAGCTGCCAAAAAATAAAAACAAACAAAAACAAGCAAAAAAAAGATCTGGCTGATTAGTTCAGTTGGTTAGAGTGCAGCATTATAACACCAACGTCATGGGTTCAGATCCCTGTATCAGCTGACTGCGTAAAAATGACCCTGCCACTCTACCTCACCATTTGCCCATTGATGCTTTGCCACCTCTTTAGGATTTTTTTATAGTACTGATGCTCCAAGTTTGATTTGTATGAATCTTAATCTATGTAACGTGTGACTACGTGGACATTGAATTTTTTCATTGGGACCTGGGGCAAGGCATAGCACTGTTGTGCTGGCTATTTTTATCCTTTCTCCTGGCACTTTCTTCCCTGTTTGGCACTCACAGCCCCCACTTCTCATCCCAAGACTTTGGTCTGGTGTTGCTGCATGTTAATTTTGCCCCAGGAAGTTCCATAGCAAGTACTGAAGACTGGTACCTGGAAACAAGAAACCCTTGGCCTGTTGTGAGCCTGAGCACAGGACTTGGAACATCCAGATGCTGGACTGCAACTGTTGCCTGCCACCTGCACCTCTCAGGCCCTTTCTGAGATATCCTTTCTTTCCAACTGTGGGCTTCTCATGTTTCCTCAGACATTCCTTTCGAAGGGCCAAAGTGTTCCCACTCCAACTCCTAGTCTATAGAAAAGTAGCAGCTCTGGTTTCTGGAAAAATCCAGAACCTTTCTTTTCCTTCTGTCTGGAGGCAAGAGAGGAAACTTTAAAGCCTGACAGAACAGAAAGCAGTTTATTCTAGCACTCAGGACAGTAATGATGGAGTAATAGTTAGGATGCACCAGCAGGATGGGTGAAGAGATGCGTTGGATTAGCTGAGTTGCTAATCAGAGCTATTCGGATTTTCTGTTTTTCTCCCTTTGAAACAGGTGGAGATGTTACGGCCAAAAATATCTGGTTGGCAGAAAATGTTCTGGATATTCTGACGGAACAGAGGTAGAGTCCACCATGAAGGGTGGGGCAAGATCCAGATACAGCCAGCAGGGTATGAGTGGGAGAAATGGGGATGAAAGGATTGTGTGGGCCAAGAACACCTTAAGTTAGAGAGGGGGAGGGAGAGACAAATGTATTGGTTGCAAGTGAAGAAATTAATGCCGTGATATGGCACAAGAGATGAAGGAGTGGGAAAGGAGGTCTTTGCTAAAATATCTCAGAGCCCAGGAAAAACTGGTTTCATCTGATAAAGGTTTATTTTTGATCCAGACCTCCTTGGAATGTTTATCTTTGGCGGGGAGGAGGGGGTGTGTGGAATGAGCTCAGCGGAGTGGGGCCAGCCAACCATCCAGGGCCTGGCAGGTACCCCTTTTCTCCCTTCCAAATCTCTCGATCAAACTCATGCTTTCTTTTTGATGTGACATAGGGGATGGATGGGGGTGAGGAGGTAATAGAGATCAATGAATCCTGCTGGAGTTTGCATATAGGGCTTGGAAGTTCTAGTGGTAGAGAACTCATGGGAGGGGCATATTGGGCTTTCTGGCTGATTCTTTCCCTTCTCCATCAAAGTAAAGGACCAGAAAGTTTATGAGGGCTGTTTCATATTTGAACTTGTCTGGGGACTTCCTCCTGGTCCTGTGCACTCAGTCTTCCTATTTCTTGATTTCAGAGTCTCTTTCTGGGTGAGGATACCATAGGAGTCAAATGATTGAGAGGACTGATAGTATCCATATTATCTACAGTTGAGAAGAATGAACCTCCCATTATTCAAATTTGTGAAAGATGGCTTGTGTTCTGGGCTCTGCCCAAGCCTGAGCCATGCCAGGCCTGCTCTGCAGTGCCACCTAGTGTTCGGGACATAGATGTGCAGCTACATCTGGGCCTGGATGCAGTAGCTCATGAGATCCTAGCAGTTTCTTACCAGGTCTCTGTGCTTCTCTAATTCTGGGTCAAAGGGTCTCACTTTTCATCTCTCTCTTTCTCTTCATTACACCATTCCAGGATTCAGATATATTTGTCACCTCTTCTAGTAATCTTCCTATGAAGTGATTTTTCTTATTTTATTTCTGGAGCCAGATACTCCTGTCCCCATTTCTTTCTTTCTTTTTTTTTTTCTGATGGCTGAGTGGTATGGGGATCCAAACCCTTGACCTTGCTGTTATGATACTTGTCTCCATTTCTTAAAGCTAAATTTCCTGTATAAGTGTTAAATAACAGCCAGATAACTGTCCAACCTTTTCTCCTACCCTCCAAAAAACTCATACCTTTTGGTGAAAATGAGTTCCTAGGAGTTAAAACTGTGGCCTCCTCCACACCCTCTTTTTCACTCCCTTCCAAATGTTTCTAAGGCCCTGGAGTTAAAAGGTAGCCAGTGGGGAGTTTTCCCCTCCCAGTATCCTTGGCAAGTGCTTTCATTCTGTGAAAGGAAAAGGCCAGAGTCTTTTAATTAAGTGGCTTGAGCACTTTTCCGGAATAAGGATGTTGCCTGGTTGGATTAATTAGACTCTGTTTTCTTCTAGTTCCCTGCCTTCCAGCAGGGTTTCCAAAGCCATTACAAACTCTTTGCTTAGGGGAGGCAACTCCCTAATTTTGGCACTTAGAGACAACATTAGGGTTTTAGGAATCTCCCCACCGTGTTTTTCTCCCTGTCCCTTTTAAAGCAGCGGGGAAGAAATAATTCTTTTGTTACCTCCTTTTTCCCTAGGGAAATTCTACAACTCCTGCAAAAATAGGCTTTGCCATCTAAAATCAGGTTCTTTTTTTCAGGTTGTTATTTAGAGCAGGTGACTTGTTGTATGGGAGTAGGGTCAGTGGCTAGACAGCCAGGGAAAGGTTTGTGGGCATGGTAAGCTGCCAATGACAAGCATGATAGAAGGGTTAGCACAGTGTGTTCTAAGAACTCCAGAGTTCTGAGAAGATCTTGGGAATCCCCAGAGGTCCTTCTACCATACTGACTTACATCATATTGACTGCTGACTTAGGGACACTTAGACAACTTTTTCCCCATTGTCTGAGCTGGGCAGAAGCTGTGGCTTATCTCTGTCCCTAGTACCTCACACATGGCTTGCCACATGATAGCAGTCAGTAAATGTTTGAATGAGTGAGTCAGCAGACAAAATTATTTTATTGGGAGCCAAGTAGTTATGTGGTAAGAAGAGATTGCTTTCATTCAGCACTTATCTTTTGGGCACCTGGTAGAGAAAATTAGGAAGTTGTCCTTACCTTAGCCGGTTGATAGTCCAAGATAGATGATAACAGTATGAGCGAGCAGCCATAAATCCAAAGAACCTACTTCCAGTGTCTAAGCATCAAACATGTCTGGGGCACTGGAGCCAGGTCCAGGGGAGTGAATTGGGAGGGTAGTAGGTCTAGACAGGGTAAAGGTGCCAGTGTCTTTCCTCTCTGCAGGGAATGGGTACTAAAGAGCAGCATCCTCATTGCCATGGCTGTTTACACATACCTCCGCCTCATTGTTGACCACCATGGGACCGCCCAGCTCCAGGCCCTGCGGCAGAAGGAAGTGGACTTCTGCATCTCACTGCTTCGGGAACGGGTGAGGGAGTAGGACAAAAACAGTATGGGGAAGTGAGACTCAGGATGGGATTCCGCTATAGGTTTTGTACATCTGGGCCAGAGATGCCTTGTTAGAGATGGAGGTGGTTCAAGATCCAGTGATTTTCATCATTCTTAGATGAGGGTAAAAAGGAGGAGGAATCAGTGTGGAATAGCCCTAGTGCCTAGAAGTGCTACCTATTATGCCGGCACCCTGAGGATTCTCCTGATCAGCCTCATGGACACTGTGGACACCACAGACACAAGCTGTCCTTGTGTGCTCACTGTTACCTGCCCACATGGGTAATTGCCATGGGCAAGTGGGATTATGAGTTGTCTACTATCAGATCTCCCAAAAGAGATATCCTAGAACTATGCAAATATGGTAGCCACTGGACACATGTGGTGATTTAAATTAAAATTCATTAATATTAGATAAGACTTTAAAATTCAGTTCTTTAGTTGTATTAGTCACATGTTGCTAATGGGTATTGTTTGGGCTATACAGATATATATGTCCTTTCCTTTAACACAGAATGTTCTGTTGGACAGATAGTTTCAGGGTAGGTTTTCTGGGGCTTAATTTACCAATCTGTCCTTTTGTAATCTTAGTTTCCCTTGAACTGAATTGAAACAGTTCTGGGTGGTGAGGAGACTAGATTAATGTGAAAGCCAGCAGGGCTTCAGCACTTCCCAGTAACCTCTCATCCTTGATATCAGACCCAGCTGCCAGCTCTCTTCACCATAACAGCTAGGAGCCAATCTCTTGGCTCCAGAAGGAATCATTTAGTCCCTTCGACCCTCTTTCCTTCCCTCCCTAGAACATGTTGTCCCTTTGTCCTCCCTCTAGCAGGTAAACAATCATGTTTTTATTCTCTTTCCTGTCCCCTCCTTCCTCCTCCCCATCAAGTTCATGGAGTGTTTGATGATTGGCCGGGACCTTGTAAGACTACTTCAGAATGTTGCTAGGATACCAGAATTTGAACTGCTTTGGAAAGATATTATCCATAATCCTCAGGCCTTGAGTCCTCAATTCACAGGTAAGCAAGGCCTGGGAATCCTGTCCTTGGGAGATGGGAGGTCAGTGTATATGTCCTGATTGAATCAAGAGGGCAGAGGTTGGTGGGCAGGAGAGTTGTTAGTCGTCAGATTTAGGAAGCTTGGGATGGGGAAGACTTTGCCAGATACGGCTGGATATGTGAATGGCAGAGGTGCAGAACAATTGATATGATTCCTAGACAGCCCCTTACATGGCTGTCGTTACTCCTAAGAAAAAAGTGAGACAGACAACTGTGATCTCCTCCTCCCCTCCTAGCAGCTCCTTGGCTCAGGAGGTAAGCCGATGACCAGTTTCCAGCTTCACTGAGTCTGGCAGGAAGTCAGAGGTAAACTTGTGAGACTGAGTCAGCAGAGGGGCTGGAATTTGTAAGAGAAGGCGTCTCCCTGGGAGAAGTCTTGCTTCTAATTATAAGGATCTAGCTTGGCCAAAAACCTCTTTGGAGGAGGGAAAGAGTCTCTGTTTGCCTCCCCTGAGAAGATTCTTTTCATATCCCATTCCCTTTCCCAGAGTTCTATTCCACTGTGGTCTAAAAAATAACTGTAGAGCTTTGCTCCCCACCCCACCTGCAGCACATGTGTGTACACACATACACAAACACACACACAGTCAAACTCAGACTGAAAGCAGTTGTACAGGACCTGGGAAGTCATGAAAGGAGAGGAACATGCTGGGGTTACCTTATATTGTACTACTCTTACATCGAACATGTCCCGAGTTGCTTTCAGTGTCTTCTCTGTGTTAGGCACACATATGTTAACTCATTCAATCCTCAGGACAGCCTTATAAGATGGGTTTTTTACTTTCCACATTTATAAATAGAGAAGCTGAGGTTCAAAGGGTTTGAGTAATTTGCTCAAGGCAACACAGCTAGTAAGTGACAGAGGTAGGATTTGTATCCAGGTCTTTCCAACTCCACAGCTTGTGCTTATGCCATAACACTACAATGATCCCAGGATACAGTGATGGAACTATCAGGAGCAGGAAGAGAAACTAGGGTTTCCCATATATTCCCCTTAATTTTCCCACTCTTTGCCTACTGGAGTAATATGGATAGAGGTTCTGGAAGGTAAGCAGACGAGGGGAATTAATATAGCTGGGTCCTGGGGATGGTGGTTGGTTGGAGCAGAACACAGAGAGGGTGGTTAGAATTCCCACTTGTACCTATGCTTGACCTTTCTTGGTCTTGTCTTGGAATTTCCCCATGAGCAAGACCACTGGCCATTAGTACCTCACCCAGATTCCCCACCTGCTTTCAGTTCCTTTTGATCCTCAGGCTTCTCCCTTTTTCTTCCCTTCCACACTTGGTTCAGGTATCCTACAGCTTCTTCAGTCAAGAACATCCCGAAAATTCCTAGCATGTCGTCTAACCCCAGACATGGAAACTAAGCTCCTCTTCATGACATCCCGGGTAAGCTAACCTATTGTAGCAAGAAGAAGAGTGGCAGGTGCTAGCTGGGCTTCTTGCTTTGATCTGCAGATCTGTTACCATTGAGTACTGACTGGTGGAGTGGTGGCTAAGTGGGTCCCCCTGATCTAACCTGGCTGCTGGTCACTTTCTTCTTTGTTCATTCTATGCCTGTGCATTGGGCATGGTGTTAAGAATTGGGGGTAGAGTGTTGAATAAGAGAAATACAATTCCAGTTCTTGTGAAGCTTTCAGTCTATCTAAAGCATCATTAAACCAAGTATTTGTGTGCAAATAATATTATTTACAAGTTATGAAATGTGCAAAAAAAAAAAAAATAGAGTAATAGTGTTCATTCTGAGAAATCCAGGGTTCTTCCAGAGGAACCGTGAGCTCTCAGAAAAAGAGCCTTTTGGTGTCCAGACACGGCTGAATTACGGCAGAATTGCTTGAGGAGCATTTTAAAGATGTAGCTTCCTGGATCCCACTCTCCCAGAGAATCTGATTGAGGAATCTGTTTTTAGCAGACTTCCCAGGCAATTCCTCTGCAGCTAGTCTGGCATTAGGGTACCATTGCCTTAGCCAGCTTTTGGTTTCCCAGGTCATCCACAAAAGCTGTCTAGATCTGTGCTATCCCATGTGGTAGCCCCTAGTCATATGTTGCAATTTAAATTTACATTAGTTAAAATTAAGTAAAATTTTAAATTCACATCTCAGTAGCAGTAGCTACATTTCAAGTGCTCTGTAGCCACCAGAAAGTTCTGCTGGACAATGTTAGTCTAGATTTTTTTTGTTTCTTTGTTTTGCCTTTCTGCTTTATTTTGGTTGATTTCTTTTGACAGGGGAATAGAAGAAGAGGAAAACCAGGCCCTTCTCCCTATTTAGTGTTGCTATTTGTAACCATTTAGGGTCTGTTTGTGGGAAGGACTTGCAGCAAGAACATTGGGAGAGTCTGTGCTTCGGATAATGGAAAGGAGACTTTAGAGACAGTATGAGCTAATGAATAAATTGTGGGAAGAAATGGAAGTCTAAGTCAAGCCTAGAGTTGAATGGTGCTCATTTTCCTCTGCCCAGGGATCCCACCCTCCCTTCCATGTTTCTTTTTCCAACTTGCCCTTCCCTCAGGTACGATTTGGTCAACAAAAGCGATACCAAGATTGGTTCCAGCGCCAGTACCTGTCAACCCCAGACAGTCAGTCTCTGCGCTGCGACCTCATTCGCTACATCTGTGGGGTAGTCCACCCTTCTAATGAAGTCCTCAGTTCAGATATCTTGCCCCGATGGGCCATCATTGGTTGGCTCCTGACAACATGTACGGTGAGAGCTGGGCCATGGGGTAAAAGATATTGGGTAGTGAATGGTGCCTCTTCCATTGTGTTTCCTATATTTCTATGCCTCTTCCTTTTTTTTTTTTTTTTTTTTTCCTTTTTGTCTTTTTTTGTGTCCGGCAACGGATCGCAACCCTCAGTGTCGCACCCGTACCGGACCGGGACCTGCAACGGGATTGCAACCCTTGGTGTTGCGCCCGCACCTCGCTCAGCCAGTGAGCGGGAACCGGTCTGTATGTGGGATCCGAACCCTCGGCGGGAGCGCCACCGCACTCCCAAGTGGTGCACGGTAGCAGTGCGCCACCGGGCCGGCCCTCTATGCCTCTTCCTGACTCTCCCGGGCCATCTGACCCCTAAGCCCTTCCTTCCTTCACTCTGGTCCTCCTGAATGTCTCAGCCTTTTACCCCTCTTTCCTTTGTATCTCTAGAAATTTACTTACACTCCTTATTTCCATCTGAGTTTGGGGTTGAACAGGTTTACCCTACCCCTTTACTGCCAATCCCCAAAGCCTGGATTTCTGAGGCATCCCTTCCTTTTTCCTTTTAGCTTCCAGAAACCACATGTGGTTATTTCTCTGAATTGTTCTTTTCTCAGATTCAGGGCTTACATTCTTCAAACCTTCATTTCCAGGCCTTTTGGCATCGGCTTTGGATAATTTCCTTCTCCAAATGTAGTGAATTCACAGTGGAGCCATTTCCTTTCTAGCATTTTCCTCCCTGTGCCTAGGGTGGGAAACTATCCATTCTCTGGCATCCAGCTGCCTCCTGACGTCTCCCAATAGTGTTCCCCTCCCCCATCTGACTAGGTGCTTGGAATGTGCTGATTCAGATATGACAACAGGCTATTCCTAGGGGGGTCTCTTCTTCAGGAATGTGCCTGGAAAGCCCAGCAACAGCAGCCGAGGGCTAGTTTGAGTGTTGCCTCAGCTCAGGGGTAATGAGTGAACTCCTAAATCCAGATATTCTTTCTTATGGGCTTGAATGTGTACTATTGGATGTATGAAGAACCCAGGCCAATCCCCATCCCTTTGCTGGTAAAACTACGGGGTACTTATATACCACATAGACTCAGGTGCCCCTCATCCCTGTGGGCATTCCATCCTGTTTCACTAGGAGCTGAATTTCATAGATGGGACAGTTAATTCAGCCCTGGAATCTGCCTTGGGCTTCTGAAGGGGAGGGAGCTGCTTAATGAAACTAGCTCTCTTTTTTTCCCCCTTTTTCTTTTCCAGTCAAATGTTGCTGCCTCTAATGCCAAGCTGGCTTTGTTTTACGACTGGCTGTTCTTTAGTCCAGACAAGGATAGCATTATGAACATAGGTATGTGACCAAGATCAGGCAGTGCCCCTTCCCATCCCCCAAGCTCCCACTGTCTTGCCCTAGTGATAGCAATCATAAATCTCAGGGCAGTGTGCACTGGAGGCAGCTTATCTGGGAGCAGTTCCATTGTTCCTCATCAGTTCTCCCTTGACCTAGAAGGAAAGTTGCTTTAATGAGGCCAAGCAATCACTCCACCCCCTTTTCCGCACAGCTTATATGCTTGGGCTTCGGGTGGGGTAGGCCTAGGCAGAGGAAAAAGCTGTACCACATTCTGCTTTTCCACTCCTACATCTCTCTTCTCTAAGCTGAATGCTGGGGACAAGAAGGGAGATGAGGGCTCAGAGCTTGGGGGACTGTCTGCTCTTGGGTCTGCTCAGGGGGAATGGAGGGGAATAGATACAGCACTCCCCAGTGCCATTCATGTTATTTGACATCCCATTTTGTGGAGATAGAAACAGACTTTGTCTGATGTGGGGGGGACCCTTTAATTCTACATTCTCCAGAACCAGCCATCCTGGTCATGCATCACTCCATGAAGCCCCACCCAGCCATCACTGCCACGCTCCTGGACTTCATGTGCCGTGTAAGTGCCATAGCCCTCTTTTCTCCCCATTCCTGGATGAGCATAGTTAAGTGTATCTCCCCTAAGTGGTCATGGATCTTATTCCCCAAGTCAGTGAATGCTTCCCTTTCATTTCCCACTGTCTCCAGTTGGATTTTCTCATGTATCCATGGGGTTTCTCAATTACAGGGATGATGACTCAAGGTAGAACCTAGTCTCCTTGAGGAATAGCCAGGTCCAGTTAATTTCCTATTTTAATGGCCTGGAATGGTCAGGAACAACACTCCAGCCCTCTCTACAGCCATACTCCCCAGTGTCCCTTGATCAAAACTAAAGCATCTTCTTAGATCTAGTTCAGCAGAACACTCTGGATGGAGAGTCTGTGCTCATTCTCTCTTCCCCTTCTTCCCTTCCAGATCATTCCCAACTTCTATCCACCATTGGAGGGCCACGTGCGGCAGGGTGTCTTTTCCTCTCTCAACCACATTGTGGAGAAACGCGTCTTGGCGTAAGGAGTTTATTTGGGGGTTGGGGGCAGTTTTCCCATTTTTCACTAGGTCCAGCTACCTATATAGATCAGACACATCCAGATATTGCCATACCACTGCTGAACCTTTACCTTGACAGGTATAGAAAGTACTGACTCAACCTCAGACTGCTGGCATATGTCCTCTTGATTCTTAGAGGAATTTCTCTCTTGCTGTCATATTATGAAGGACTCCAAATGCCTTCCTATCCCTGTTGACCCCTTCCAAGGATCTGCGTATGGCCCGGTCATATTGATTGGGCATAGACCTATCTCTCTTTTTTTTTTAAAATAATTTATTTTATTTATTGAATCAAAATCAATTATACATATTTTGGGGGTTGAACATTGAGATATGTTGATTAAATAAGTATTACTAGCATATATATTGTTACAAGTCACAATTATTCTTTATGCCCCTTGTCCAACCTCTCCCCTTCCCCCATTCCCTCCCCCTCCCCCCCCTAATTGCCTAGATTTCTTCTCTCCTTCTGAAAGAATAATGGTTACTCTGTTAACTTGTTACCTAGATGATCTGTCCAATACTGAGAGGTGTGATCAGGTCCCCCAATATTATCATAGAGCAGATGCTTCTGTCACTCTGAAATGGGTTTTGTGGAAAGAGACATCCTCTTCTTTTCTTTTTCTCTGCTGGTGACTCTTCTTATATGAATGCACTCCAGTGGTTGGCGGACCATCTACGTGGTGGCTGTGCCGTCTAGCCGCTTTTGCAGCAGCCATGGTTATTGTGGTGACTGTGGTGGGCCACCCACGTGGGGGTGCTGTTTTTGGCATGCCCCTTGACACTGGCAGTATGCCTGGTTGTGGGGTGTGTTTGGTCCCCTTCTCCTTGCCTTGGGTCCCCTGGTAGGCCCCAAGGTGTTGGCATGTTGTGCCTGGTTGTGGGAGGGTGGTCTGGTCCCCGACTCCATACCCTGGGTCCCTGGGTGGGCCCCAAAGCACAGGCTCAGTGTGCCTGGTTATGGGAGGGTGGTCTGGTCCCCTTCTCCATGCCTTGGGTCCCTGGGCAGGGCCTAAGGTGCTGGCGTGGTGTGCCTGGTTGTGGGAGAGAGGTCCAGTCCCCTTTTCCATGGCTCAGGTCCCCGGGTGGGCCCTGAAGCGCTGGCTCAGTGTGCCTGGTTGTGGGAGAGGGGTCCAGTCCCCTTCTCCATGCCTCAGGTCTCCAGGCAGGCCCTGAGGCACTGGTGCAGTGTGCCTGGTTCTGGGAGAGAGGTCCAGTCCCCTTCTCCATGCCTCAGGTCCCTGGGCGGGCCCTGAAGCACTGGTGCGGTGTGCCTGGTTGTGGGAGAGAGGACCATTCCCCTTCTCCTTGCCCCGGTTCGCTGGGTGGACTCCGAGTTGCTGGCATGTTGTGCCTGGTTGTGGGAGAGAGGTCCAGTCCCCAACTCCATACCCAGGGTCCCTGGGTGGGCCCCAAGGCGCAGGCTCCGTGTGCCTGGTTGTGGGAGGCTGGTCTGGTCCCCTTCTCCATGTCCCGGGACCGTGGGCATAGACCTATCTCTAACTCCATGTCGAGTTAGAAATGAGGAGCTCTGATGTTGATTTTTTTTTTTTTTTTAAAGATGACCGGTAAGGGGATCTTAACCATTGACTTGGTGTTGTCAGCATCATGCTCTCCCAAGTGAGCTAACTGGCCATCCCTATATAGGGATCCGAACCCGTGGCCTTGGTATTATCAGCACCACACTCTCCCAAATGAGCCATGGGCCAGCCCTCTGATGTTGACTTTCATTCATGTTCCCCATTAGACACTTGGCTCCCCTATTTGACAACCCTAAATTGGATAAAGAGCTGCGGGCAATGCTGAGAGAGAAGTTTCCTGAGTTCTGCAGCTCACCCTCCCCACCTGTGGAAGGTAGGAGCCCTCCTATTCCTTCACCTGTGTCAAAAGAGGATGAGGACATCCAGGGCTCTCAGACTAGATCCCTGTTTAGGATGTTGTCCCTGCGCAGTTCTCCAGCTCTATGATACTGTCTATCTCAGTTTTTCCTTCCCTGGTTTTTTCATTTTTGTGTTGTCTCTCTTTGTCTTCTCTCTCTTCATCTAATTTTATCTGACTTTTGCTTATCTTTCTTGCTCTCTTAACTGTTTATTTTCTCTTATTAACCTCTTCTCAGTAGGTAGAAGGCTTTCATGGAATGTGTGTTTATCTCACTAACTTTGCAACTCTCTTCTCTCTTCGCAGCCCTAGGCTCTGGCCCCTGATGAGAAGTTGTCTTGTTGGGTCTCAAATCTTGCTCCCAATTTCAGACTGCCATCTCCCGTTATGTGTGTGCACACACACACTTTTTTTGTTTTGGGATAAGGGCAGTAGTTCCAAACTTGATTTGTTTGTTTTTGTGGCTGTCCAGTAAGGGGATCCTACCCTACCTCTTGACCTTGGTGTTAATAACACCGTGCTCTAACCAACTGAGCTCACCAGCCAGCCCCCAACTTGGTTTTAAATTAAAGATCACTTAGGACTGTCCCCGGTCTTACTCTACTCACTTATCCTGGGCTAAGCATAGAGGAGTCATGCCCTGTGTTGCGCTTATTCCTGGCAGCATGCCTCTGCAAGTTGTGGAGAGTTGTGAGGACAAGAGGTTTGTCTTTCCAGGTTCTGTTCCATTAGGTTGTAAGCTGCTTATTCTCCCACTTGCCCTCCAGTCTCCCCTTCCCAGAAGCACAAGGTATGTTAGAGGACACAGATGCCTTTTCTTTCTTTACTCCCAAGTCAAAATTGAGGAACCAGTTTCCATGGAGATGGACAACCATATGTCAGATAAGGATGAAAGTTGCTATGACAATGCAGAAGCAGCCTTCAGTGATGACGAGGAGGAACTCAACAGCAAAGGTGAGACTTAGCAGCAAAGGTTCAGGGTTGTGTCAATACTGATAGGACCTATTCATAGGAGCAGTCTCTCTATCATCTTTGCCCCTGTGTATTAAAGTTCTTTTAACAGGGTTTTTGGATGTGTCTCCAGGGTACAGAGCCCTGCACTTAACTCTGAAGGCAGAAGGGGAAAAAGAAGTGGTTCCAGCCTTTTATTGTAAGGGCTAGGACATATGTGCATTCAGGGAGATGCTTAAAGAAGTCACACAGGATTGAGTGAGCAGAGGCACACTGAGGGCATGTGAGGAAGGGACAGATGGTTCAGGGAAGTGTTTCTGTTGGCGTCCAGGCAAACTGACTTCTTTCCTAAATCACTCCTTTCAGGAAAAAAGAGAGAGTTTCGCTTCCACCCTATCAAGGAGACAGTTGTGGAGGAGCCAGTTGATATCACCCCTTACCTTGACCAGTTGGATGAGTCCCTAAGGGATAAAGTACTCCAGCTACAGAAAGGGAGGTGGGTACAGACATTCTCTCAACCTTGGGATGTCCAGCCCTGGGCTGTGTACCTGGTGCTTAGTGGGTGTGGCAGTATGATAGAGGTTGGAGGGAAACATAATGGGGGTGCACAGAGAGGTAGTTGAAGCTTCATGAGAGCTGTCTTCTTCAGTTTACTTTGGGGAATATGGGCTGGGCGTGGCACAACCTCATCCCCTAACACCTCGGTTCCCACTTCATAGGTTCTGGAGAGAGGAACCTCTATGAATCAAGGCAGGATTGATGGGGATTTCCCTTTTCTTTGGGCCTCTGCCCAGAGAGCAGCAAATTCTGCCCTAATGCCCCTCCCACCCAAGCCAGGATTTTACACAGATCCTTTTGTTTTGTTACTGTGCATATGAGTCTGTTTTTTGCACACTGTTCTCTGTGTGTCCTGCCCTCTGCTATCATTTATGTCTCTGGGATTTCCTCTCATTTCTGTACTGCAGTGATACGGAGGCCCAGTGTGAGGTCATGCAGGAAATCGTGGACCAGGTCCTGGAGGTGAGGAGGAACCCAATCCCTTAGGGAGGAAGTGCCCAGCCAGCCCAGCTTAGAGCTCCCCATGCAGATGTCTCCTGGGGAAGCTGACTCCCTCCTTCCCCTACCCCAGATGGGTCCCCTTTGATTAGGTTGGGAGGCGTAGCTTGCTGATCCTACAGGTGGAAGCAGATGAGTTCAGAGGCTTTGGTAGTGGGGACAGTAAGGCTTGGGTCTAGGTAGTGATATCCCCTCCCTTGTCTCACCACTCAGGAAGACTTTGACTCGGAGCAGCTGTCTGTCCTTGCTTCCTGCCTACAGGAACTCTTCAAGGCCCACTTCCGAGGGGAGGTGCTGCCTGAGGAGATCACCGAGGAGTAAGACTCATCTTCCCCGTGAACCCCTGGGCCTTGGGAGCCAGAAGTGTGTTCCTGTAGCCAAGTCCACGAGGCATCTTGCTGTGGACTTGAGAAAAATAATCTGTTCACTTGGCGTTTTTATTCTCACATGTCTGATTCATATAACAAGGATTTTTTTTACCTGCTGGACACCATGTGTACTTGGGCAGTGGGCTAGCATCCCCTCCTTATGCTTCCAGCCTCTGCTGCTGGGCCCTGTAGCTCTAACCTTTGCTGCTTCAAGTGGGATTGGACCCTGGCCTGGATTCTCCCTGAAGGGCAAGAATCTCACCTTCAATGATGATGACAACATTAGATTGTGGTTCCATGTTTGGAACCTGTTTCTCTGTTACCCAGCCTCTGGGGTAGCAGGAAGTTTGCCTTTTGGGTAGAAAAGGAGCAGTCTGGCATCTAGCCTCAAGCTGATCCTCCATAACATGTGCCTGCACCTCCTCTTCCTCCTCTAACTTGGACTCTCATATCTTAACCTCCCCTTGTAGGTCCCTGGAGGAGTCTGTAGGGAAGCCTCTCTACCTAATATTTAGGTAAGCACCCAGCTATAGGAGATGCTGCTCTGCCTCCGTCCTCTCTAACAGCATACACATGCTCCTGTCCTGGTGTAGTGGGGACTCCCTTTCCAGGAAGGAGTAAGTTATGCAGTGGGCACAGACAGCACATGCCATCCACAAGCTCCAAAGGAGAGTCTGTGCTAGGTAAAGCTCTTGTCTTCTCCCATCCCCACCTCCAGGAACCTATGCCAGATGCAGGAAGACAACAGCAGCTTCTCTCTGCTTCTGGACCTTCTCTCTGAGCTATATCAGAAGCAGCCCAAGATTGGCTACCACCTGCTCTACTACCTGAGGGCCAGGTGGGTATGGTCCCCACATTTCAGAAGGTGTCAGGAAGCATCCTGGAGAGCCTCTCTTCTCCTACACACTGACTCCTTTACCCTTGGCTGTCATCACTAGGGCTTTTCATGTTTTTGGTTTTTTGTGTAATAATAACTTTTAAGATATAATTCACATACCATAAAATTTACCCTTTTAAGATGTACAATTCAGTGGCTTTTAGTATATTCACAGAGTTGTATAACTGTCACTACTATGTAATTTGGAACATTTTCATCACCCCAAAAAGAAACTCCTCACCTGTTAGCAATTACTTCTCCATTCTCCCCTTCACCCACCCCCTAGCAACCATTGATGGGTTTCCCATCTCTACAGATTTTCTTAGTCTGCATTTCATTTAAATGGAATCATACAATGTATGACTCACATTTATCATTTAGCATATTTTCAAGATTCATCCATGTTGTAACACGTCAAATCTTCATTTCTTTTTATGGCTGAATAATATTCCAGTGTATGGATATAGTACATTTTGTTTATCTGTTAATGGACATTTGGGTTGTCTCCATTTTTTGGCTGTCACAAATGGAGCTGCTGTGAACATTCATGTACAAGTTTTTGTGTGGCCATATGTTTTCAGTTGTCTTGGGTATATACATAGGAATGGAATTATTGGATCATATGGTAACTTTATTTTTACATTGGTGAGGAACTGCCAAACTGTTTTCCAAAATGGCTGCAACTATTTTACATTCCCACCAGCAATGTGTTGTAAGAGTTCTAGTTTGTCCACATGCTCCCCAACACTTGTTATTGTCTGGCTTCTTGATTCCGGCCATCCTAGTGGGTATGAAGTGGTATTTCACTGTGGTTTTGATCTGCATTTCCCCAATGGCTGTGATGTTGAGCATCTTTTCATGCGCTTATTGGCCATGTGTATATTTTCTTTGGAGAAATGTCTCTCCAAATCCTTTTCTCATTTTTAATTAGGTTATTTGTCTTTTATTTTATTTTATTTTTTTTGTCCTTTTTGGAGACCGGCCGCACCGCGCTCAGCCAGTGAGCGTTGTGAGCGCAGCGGCCATCCCTATATAGGATCCGAACCCACGGCGGGAGCGCTACTGCACTCCCAGCGCCGCACCCTCCCAAGTGCGCCACTGGCTCGGCCCAGTCTTTTATTATTGACTTTTAAGAGTTTATATATGCTGGATACATGTCCCTCATCAGATAGATATATGATTCGTAAATATTTTCTCCTATTCCGTGGGTTGTCTTTTCACCTTTTTGATGGCACCCTTTGAAACATAAAAGTGTTAAATTTTTATGAACTCAAAATTATATATTTTTTTGGGCCGGCCCGGTGGCGCACTGCTACAGCGCACCGCTTGGGCCGCGCTCCCAGCAAGGGTTCGGATCCCACATACAGACCAGTTCCCACTCACTGGCTGAGCGAGGTGCGGGGGCAACACCGAGGGTTGCGATCCCGTTGCCGGTCCCAGTCCGGTACGGGCGCGACACTGAGGGTTGCGATCCGTTGCCGGACACGAAAAAAGACAAAAAGGAAAAAAAAAATTATATATTTTTTTCTTTTGTCACTTGTGCTCTTGGTGTCATAAAAATTTACTTCTGTTTTCTTGTAAGAGTTGTATGGTTTTAGTTCTTAAATAGGCCTATAAGTCATTTTTTTGGTTTTGTTTTGTTTATTTTTATTATTTATTTTTTCATTGTACATGGTTTTGTTTTGGTTTTTGTTTTGGTTTTTTTTTTTTGGTGGCTGGCTGGTATGGGGGCATTGTACATGTTTATGGGGTATAATTTATTGTTTCAATATGTGCATATATTGTATAATGATCGAATCTGAATAGTTAGCATATCTATCACCTAAACATTTATCATTTTTTTGTGATTATAACATTCAAGACCTAAAGCCATTTTGAGTTAAGTTTTATATATGGCATGAGGTGTTACTGCATTATGACTAGAGCCCAGAAAGCAAGAGAGAAAGCTTTTTCCAACCTGACTCGAGCCCTTTCTCTCCTGTTCTTGACTCTCATAACTCAGTAGCTTTACTGTTGTGATTGGAGCCCTGGGGAAGGATGGGGAGAAAGAGGAGTATCTCCTAGTTCCTGTAAGTTGTCAAGCCCTTGGGGAAGGCAGGGGAGGAACATGAGACAGGTTAGCACAGAGCATCCAGGAAAGTCGAAGGGAAGTAGGGATATTTGGAGGTGGGTAGTGGGGGCAGGCTGCTAACTGGGAAAGAATGGGGAGAAAGAGGAGTGTTTCCTGGTCTTGCAGCAAAGCTGCTGCAGGGAAGATGAACCTGTATGAGTCATTTGCCCAGGCCACCCAGCTGGGTGATCTGCACACCTGCCTAATGATGGACATGAAGGCCTGCCAGGAGGATGACGTGCGGCTGCTGTGCCACCTCACACCCTCCATCTACACAGAGGTCAGTGCTCCATCCACATCCGTGCTGGGGGTGGGGGCTCACAGGAGACTGTGCACCTCGGTGCACACGCTGAGTGTTGCACACTTCCCTGACCCTTCGTTGCCCATTGCCCACTAACTTCAGTGGGCCACTGCTTCTCACACCACAGCTGTCCCCTCTTTCCGCCTCTCTTTATTAAAGGTTGAAAGATTTCTAAAACTCCCAGAATTCCTGTCCTTTGGTTTAACTGTGGTGTGAGTTGGGTCTGGACCTATATACCTGGCTTCTCAGCTTTGGCCCCATGATTTGGACCCAAGACTTAGGTTCCCCAAACCAGACTCATGTTCACATATTCCAAGCCCTCTTTCCCACTGATGGCTCACCTGTGGCTTCTCTCTAATGGTTCCCAATGACCAGGACTTCTGTAGTGGAGACCCACTTTGATTTCCCCCGGTTCCCTCACAGTCTTCTCTAGGAACTGGGATGTAGGAGGAGATACCAGCTCTTCTTCCTCTTGGTAAAAGTTCCTAGGAAGAGGGAAATGAGGGCCCAGGTTGTGGGCATAACAGGGGGGAACTGTGATCTCAGCTCAGTCCTGGAGGGAGGAGGGGTGCAGATGCCAACACAGGGCACTTCTTTCCACTCGCTCCCTGTCTGTCCAGATGGGGCCCTGCCCACCCCACACACCCCTCACACACCCCAGATCCATACTCTCTCACACCTTCTCTTCATTGGCTGAAGGTCAGCATAGATTGGACTTCTTTGCTGTAAGGGTGCAAGTATTTACCCTGTTGCCACTCCCACTCAGAACCGACTATCACATCTCATCCCTTTCAGCTCTGGCTTTATCTCTAGATAGCTCCCCATTCCTTTCCTTACACACACACACACACCTCATGGTGTGCACACACAAATAACAAAACTGGGGATCTTTAAGGGTTAGATTCCCAGTTTCATAGCTGTTGGATCTGTTTAGGGTTTTTTATCAGGACCCACGTCAGGCTGACCCAACCATACCTTGAGCATGTGATAAGGAAAGGGGATGGGTTATGAGGGAAAAGCCAGGGGGGTCCACCCTGGACTCCTGCCCTAGCTTCTCTCTTTTTTTCTATCTAGTTTCCAGATGAAACCTTGAGGAGTGGAGAACTGCTGAACATGATCGTGGCTGTTATTGACTCTGCACAGGTGTGAACACTGAGCTTTGACATCTCCAGAGAGTTCTGGAAGGCAGGACTGGGGAGATCAGGGCCTCTGCTTTCTCTCTGGGCCTGCAAACAGGGAGCACATGTTCCATCCATAGGCATGCCACCTCCTGGCTACAGTTGAGTGCACTGTAGGCAGTGTGGGCTGGAATGGAAAAGTGGAGCACAAGGAAGGCAGGCTGGGCTCAGGCCAGTCCTGCCTGGAGTTACCCTTATTCTCCATATTCTTTGGGCATTCCTGTTTCCACAGGGAAAGCTGAGGGGGTTGTTTCTGGCTCTTAACCGGCCTTCCCGATGGCTCAGAATGAAAATGGTTGGATCATTTCTCCTTGACCTTTCAACCGTGCTTAGGTCCCCAAGAGGCTGTAGCTTTGCTTGGGTCCATCTCAGGCCTGACATTTCCACTCCTCCTCTCCAGTCAGTTCCTATTCCTCAAGGAGGAAGCTTAGCACTCAAGAGTCCTCTTTCCTGTGCCTATCCCCTACCCATACCTATGTCCAGAGCCCAGCCTTCTAGGGTCCTTCCCTCCTTCCCAGGCTCAGAGGCCAGGTGGAGAAGTTGCCCATACTGCCTCTGCCATCAGGATATAGGGGATTTCCATAACTATTTTTGCCCAAAATAGGCCTGTGTTCCCCACTCAGGCCTGTTGCTACTTTACCAGCCCCTTTCATCCTTCAGAGACCACAACATTCATCGTATGCCATTTCCTCCCTGTCCTTTTAAACTAGGCTTTTACTTCTGACTTCTCCCCTTATGAGCCCTACTGCTTCTGCCTCCATACTGGCTTCCTAGCCTCTTAGAGCTAATGGGTGCTGCCTTCTTCCTCCTCCTCAGCTCCAGGAGCTGGTCTGCCATGTGATGATGGGGAATCTGGTCATGTTTCGAAAAGACTCAGTCCTCAACATACTCAGTAAGTGACCAAACTTTTTAGGTACGTAGGAGGAGATGGGGGGTGTCAGCCCTGTGTATTTTCCAGTAACAGGAAAGCTGGCTTTGGGGCTTGGAAGTTAAGGGGATAGAATGTCTTTCTACTCTGCTGTGTGGTCTGAGGTAGTGTCTTTCTGGATTTCTGTGTCTTGCTCTGTAAAATGGAATGACTTAACCTTGCCGCTCCAACCTCAGGACTCATGAGAATATGGAAGCTGTGTGAAGACAATGGAAATAAGCACTGTGTGGAAAGGGATAGGGTCACTGTCCCTCCTTCTGTACTGCTTGGGGTGCTCATAATCAGTGGATTTGCCGTGTGTGTGTGTGTGAGAGAGAGAGAGAGAGAGAGAGAGATATGTTTCTTCTCTGTCTCTTCCAGTCCAAAGCCTGGACTGGGAAACCTTTGAGCAGTATTGTGCTTGGCAGCTCTTTCTGGCCCACAACATCCCCCTGGAGACCATCATCCCCATCCTGCAGCACCTCAAATACAAGGGTGAGTAGGGTCAGGTTGGGAGCACGGAAGAAAGGACACCCTGTCCATCTGGGGCAAGACTGAGGCCTCTAGTCTTCTAGGATGAGCCCAGATCCCCTGTTCCCCTTCCCACCACAGTGCAGAAGGGCAGACCCACTAGGAATGGTCTATAGGATTCTTGTCTTTGTCCAAGACTGTCCTTGTTCCTTCCAGTGGCTGTTGGTTGGGGTGTGGGAGAGGTGCCCAAATTCCTTCTGAAATTAGGCATTTCCCTAAAAAGGTTCTATTCTTCCCCCACAGAGCACCCAGAGGCCCTGTCCTGCCTACTGCTTCAGCTCAGAAGAGAGAAGTAAGTTCCACCCCTGAGAGCTCTTTAGTCCTCAGTCTCAACATATCAAGAGATACTGTGGTATAAAAGGCCTCCATCCTGCTCCTTTTGCCATGTTTTTTCCTGTCGTTGACATCTGCTTATTCTGCCCTTCCCCCAGTAAGACTTACAAATAAGTAGCTCCCCTGGGATCTGGGCTTCCTCTTGACTTTACAGCCCTGCCCACCAGGAGCTGTCCTCGAAGGTGGGAAGGTGGGGACCGGACATCCTTGTTTCCTGCTGCCACAGCAGTTCTAATCCCTAGTGGCTCCTGCTCCCCTCCCCCATGCTCCTGTAGGCCACCACACACTAATCCAAGAGGAGGAAGGGTCAGAGTCAGGCGAGTCCACACCACCCCCTCCTTCAACCTGCACAAAGCAGAGCCAGCTGGACCCATTGTGCTCCCTGCCAGGGTGGGGCATAGAGGGAGAGAGGGCAAAGGCCCCTCTTCATCACAGGCCCTTCAGCAACATCCCCAGATAAATGGGGCAACAGCTATGTGTCTTTTCCTTCCTATCTTGCCTGCCTTCCACCTTTTCTCCTCTCTTGCCTGACAGACCAGAATGGGACAGAGTGTCCTAGAGGAAATGGGAAGTTTGGAGGGCTGTGTGGGGCTGTGGCTTCCCAGCCCTCTCTCCTGCCCCTTCCTTGGGCTGGATACCAGGTTGGCCACAGCTCAACAGGGCAGGGGTGGGGGAGCATCCACACACCACATGTTTGTCCTTTTGCCTCCCTGGCCCATTTCCTGACTGTTCTGGGGAAAGTTGGAGAAATTTGGCAGGCTTCCTTCCTAACACACATGCGCATACACCTTCTACTGCCACAGAAGCTAAAGAATCTCACTTCTCGTCTCCTGGCTTCCACAGAGGATGAAACAGGCATTCCTTGGCCCAAAGAGAAGAGAGAAGAGGGATGTGAGAGTAGGAAGGTGTAGCAGAACTGAAGCAGGGTCGGGAGGCTGGAGTTTGGGAAATAAGTGGGAGATCCAGCAGTTACTGGGCTGGCTGTGCAAGCATGACACCCAGCACCCCTCTCATGCCCCCAGACCCAGTGAGGAGATGGTGAAGATGGTGCTTAGTCGGCCCTGCCATCCTGACGACCAGTTCACCACCAGCATCCTGCGGCACTGGTGTATGAAGCATGACGAGCTGCTGGCCGAGCATATCAAGTCCCTGCTCATCAAGAACAACAGCCTTCCTCGAAAGAGACAGAGGTGGGACGTGGGCCCTGTCGACCTTCCAGGCCAGAGCTACCCAGCATTTCATGCCCACTGTCAACAAGCCATCACCAAGGCAGTCTGCAGTGACTGTTGCCCAGTGATGGTGGGGTGCCAATGCTGTCCCAGCCTGGTTTGTGGGCGACATCTAGTGGTCTCAAGCCACATGGCATGCAAAACCACTGTGGCCCTTTCTCCCCCTCTTCTCTGAGTGTCCCCATGGCTGGATCCTGTGTTCTAGGCATACCTCCCTTAGCCCACCCCAGCCATCTGTCCTCGTCCCCATATGGGCTGGAGCCCTCCCCTCGAGCTCACACTGGCTCTCATGACTTCCCTGCACAGCCTGAGGAGCTCCAGCAGCAAGCTGGCCCAGCTGACTCTGGAGCAGATCCTGGAGCACCTGGACAACCTGCGACTCAACCTGACCAACACCAAGCAGAACTGTACGCTTCCCTGCCCTATCCATGTTGAGCATGTATGGGACTGCTGCCCTGGCTCAAGCCATCCCTGGAGCCAGGCTGGGGACAGGGGAAGGATGCCCAGGGCCAGAACTCAAACTCTCTGTAGAAGACTACCTTTGGGTGCCATTTCATAAGCCCCCAGACTTCTAATTGTTCTTCCTTCCCTGCTCTCCCTTCCTTTCCCCTCCAGTTTTTAGCCAGACCCCAATTCTCCAGGCACTGCAGCACGTCCAGGCGAGCTGTGATGAAGCCCACAAGATGAAGTGAGGCTCCTTCCACTTTGGCCTTGGGAAGTAGTGGAGAGAAGGCCTAGAGGAGAGGAGGCCTGCTGGGGACACAAACTTAATGGCCACCAAGACCTAGGCCTGGGGACAGAGAAAAGAATGGGAGGTGGCCACAGGACCAGGATGTCCCCACTCTGAGAGCCCATTCACCTTTCCCTTAGGTTCAGTGATCTCTTCTCCCTGGCAGAGGAATATGAGGATTCTTCCACCAAGCCACCAAAGAGCCGGCGAAAAGCAGCTCTGTCCAGCCCTCGAAGTCGAAAGAACGCCACACAGCCCCCCAATGCTGAGGAAGAGTCGGGCTCCAGCAGTGCTTCGGTGAGACACGCACCAGTGCACAAGAGGAAAAGGAGAAATGGAGTGCAGGTGGAGTTGTGGCCAGCAGCTGCCCAGGCTAGTAATTTCCCTCCTCTCCCTCCCAATCTCTTCCAGGAGGAAGAAGACACAAAACCGAAGCCCACCAAGCGGAAACGAAAAGGGTCCTCTGCAGTGGGTTCTGACAGTGACTGAGGTCCTGTGTCCCCCATCCCACCCCCAGTTGGACTGCCCTCTGCTCCTAGGTGAATCAAAGGTTAATAGGGACTGGAGCTCACCCAGTGGGAAGGATGATCTTCCTCCTCTGACCCAGGCTGAGAAGCTGCCGTGCAGCCCCCAGTCTCCCCACTCCTCTCCTGGGGCCTCCAGCCCCTTACACTGCTGCTCCCACTGATATTGGATTCTCACTGAAGCCAGAGGCTGTGCAAAACCAGACCATGGTGGAAATCCTAGCCCCTGCCCCCTCCCCTAGCCTCCTCTCCTAGTCTTTCAAAGTGCCACTTAACAGAGAAGGGAAATGACAAGGGGGCAGCAGGCCGGAGAAGCTTGGATGAGAGGAGAGACTCTGTGTGGGTGTCCCTTCACGCTTCCCCCTTCAGGTCTTGATTTGCTCTGAGCAGGCATTTTATAGTCACTCTCCACACACCAGTACGAAATGAGTATCTAATCTGACTTGGTCAGGCTGCCCATTCCTAACTGTGGGGTAAATGACACAAGCATTCAGAAAGGAACCTGAAAGGGAGGACATAGCCCCACGTGGTGTGCCCTGGAGGTCTGGGTTGGCCTGAGGTTGGCACCTCAAGCTGTGCTAGAGCCCAGGGGAGTCCCAAGGCAAGTTCCACAGAACTGTCAAGTGGTTCCATTTCCTTGGTTCTGTTTTTTTTGGGGGGGGTTTTGACAGAGATAATCATGTCTTAAAAGTTGTTTTTAGATGACAATAAAACAAGCCAGACCATCTTTTGTGCCTCCACCCACATTTACCCTGTGCATATACAGGTGGTCTTGGTTAAATTGGCACCCATAGGGCCGGCCTGTGGCTCACTCGGTAGAGTGCGGTGCTGATAACACCAAGGCCACGGGTTCGGATCCTATATAGGGATGGCCGGTTTGCTCACTGGCTGAGCGTGGTGCTGACAACACCAAGCCAAGGGTTGAGATCCCCTTACCGGTCATCTTTTAAAAAAAAAAAAAAAAAAAATTGGCACCCATACTTGTAATCTCACAACTTCCCCCTTTTCCCTTCCTACTGTATCCCACCCACCTCCCTTTTTTGTCTAGAGCCAGAGGGACTTGGTTTTATCCCCCTTTCTTCCATCTTTCCTGCTACCACTGAAGGTGTGAGCCAGGCACTGATCTGTCCATGCAGATATTGACACTGGCACCATCTCCCCGTAGGCCGAGGTCCTTACCCACTTCTCCCCAAAAAACTAGAGGTATCTGAAAGTTAATGTGTGTCATGCTCACTCCAGTTTATTCAGTCTGATGCTTACCAACTACTGAAGGACTAACGGGGGAGGGATGCTCCAACTTGGATCTTGAAGCGCATAAGTGTGCCTGGAGAGAGAGTTCAACTACCAGGGGTGGGAGACCCTCTTCCTTCCCTAGTCTGGCCACTTGCTGATACACTTACCCGCAGGAAAGAGTTCTTTGGCTATGCTTTTTGTTCCCGTGCTCTCCAGGGAGATTGGAGGGCGGCTGAGGAGAGAGCAGTGAAGTTTGGGCTAACTGCAGACAGCTCTTCCTCTTCAGCCTGCAAATCTCTTTTTTTTTTACAGAATCTAGGTTCTCCCCTCCCTCAAAGCTGCTACTCCTTCCTTTGAAAATGTAAACCACTGGAGGCCTCTTTTTCCTTCCTCTATCCTTCTCCAGTTTCCTCTGCCCCAATTAAAATCAGGATGGAAAACATTCACTGGTTGGCCCCAATTATTGTACCCTTGCCCGAAGGGAGGGACCTCCACCTTTCCACTACTTAAGTCTCTTGGCCCCCACCCATTCCCTGGGGTGGCTGCTGCTGCTGGCAGCTGGAGGGAGGGCATGAGTCTGGGACTTGCAGAACCAAATGGGCCAGGGGCCAAGTGCTTCGGTTTCTTTGGGGAGAGAACAATGGTACCTTCCCATCACGGGTGAGAATGAGAAATACTGAGGGAAGATAGACTACGATCCAAGCACCCTGGCTCTTAGACCGGGACTCCGAAGTCCAACCAGACTCCCAAGAGGAGAAAAAACGTAAAGCGGGACTTGAACCGGCGGCCGAGCACCGCCCAGACCCTGGTAGGATGCTGGCACGGATAGTCCGGGAGGGAGCGCGCCTAGGGCGTGGCGTAGGCTGTAGGGAGGGACGGGAGTTCGGGGCCGCCCCCATACGCACTCCTCCCGTGCTCGTGCTCTCCGCCCGTGGGGAGTGGTGGAGGCCTGGGTGGGAAGGGGCGTGTGCCAGTGCACGCGGGCTTTATGGGAGAAGAGGTCTCGGAGCGAGAACGAGCGGTCTTAGTTTTTCGGAAGGGACTACCAGGGGTGTTTGCGAGTGGCCGGGACCGGACGGTGCCGAGCGGAGGAAGAGGGTACCATGGCTGCGCTCCTCCTGCTGTCCCTGCTGCTGTTGCTGCCGCTGCTGCTGCTGAAGCTGCACCTCTGGCCGCAGTTGCACTGGCTCGCGGCAGACTTGGCCTTCACGGTGCGCGCCCTACGCTGCAAAAGGGCTCTTCGAGCTCGCGCCCTGGCCGCCGCTGCCGCCGACCCGGAAAGTCCCGAGGGGGGCTGCAGCCTGGCCTGGCGCCTCGCACAACTGGCCCGGCAGCGCCCCGCGCACACCTTTCTCATTCATGGCGCGCGGCGCTTCAGCTACGCCGAGGCGGAGCGCGAGAGTAACCGGGCTGCGCGCGCCTTTCTACGCGCGCGAGGCTGGGACAGGGGACCCGGCGGCGGCGGCGGCGGCGCAGGGAGTGCCGGCGGAGGCGAGCGAGGCGGAGGCGAGCGAGGCGCCGCGGATGCGGCGGG